CAGGCGTGGTGTTGGCATGCATGCGACGCATGCCCCGTTCCTATCCGGCCCTTCAAAAGCTCGCGGCAAGTGCAATATATATGGTGGCGAACCTCATTACCCAAGGCAGCGTCCAGCTGCTTTTCAGCTCTTTAGGAGTATTGCCTGGCTCGCTGGTCTTCAGCGCCTTGCTTGTGCTTCCTAATGTTCTGGTGTGGGAGTTTTGCAGCCGAATTTTCTAGTCAAGCACAGGAGTTTATGTACACCGTGCGGGTGTGTTCATACTGGCTCCTTTGCTTAGCCGCAAAGCGGAGACTACTTTCTTTTTGAGTAAAATATGTGATGCGCCATGCACACGTGCCGTTTTCAACTTGTTTTCTTCTTTTTTTCGTTGTCCGGCTGTTTCCTTGAGGCCCGTGTTTTTTGATTGGTTCGGGTTGGATCCGACATCCCGACACCCCCGACACCCCCGACACCCCCGACATTTTTCCGTGTCCTGACGAGTCCAAGGGTCCAAGGCTCCAATGGTGCAAGGGACCCAAGAGTCCACCCCCCCTTTTCTAACATCTCGGGTTGGATCCCACATCCCACCCCGTGTACCGACGAGTCTTCTCTTTCTGTGTTTTCTCTTTCCTTTCTCTTTTTCTTTCTTTCTGTCTTTCTTTCTCACTCTCTCTCTCTCTCTCTCTGTTTTGTTATGTTTTCCTTTCCGTTTCTCTCTCCTTATCTTTCTCTTTAAATGTTCAGTCTCTTCTCTTCCTCTTTCGCTCATGTTGTTTGTTTCTTTTTCTCTCTCTCTTTTATGTTTGTCGTTCTTTTTATCCTTATCTTTGTCTTTCTCTCTTTCACTGTATGTTTCTCTTCCTCTCCCTTTTTCTCATTCTCTGTATACTTATCTCTTTCTCTTTCTTGGTTTTCCTTTCTCTCTTTATCCCTCTCACTTTCTCCCTTTCTCTTTCTTTTCACTCTCTCTCTTTTGTCAAACTACACGCTTCACTTCTTGCATTTGTGTTGCATGCATGTTCACTACTGCAGCTCACTACATCGCATGAGTCAAAAGGTTGGCAGCTGCAGACTACATTGGTTGTTTGATTGTTTGAACACTACAGCACTTGCACTTGTAGTAGCAGTATTCTTTAACGTGGTAGCAGAGCTGAGGTCCTAAACATAGGGGAGCTCCAGTACTCAGCAGTAAGTACTACAACCACAGCAACAGCAATCACATTCCAAACTACTACGACATGTCAGGAGAAGCAGCATCAGCCTCAGCACAACAAACTACAGGAGCAGAGAACGGGCCAACAGCAGACACAGTAGGAGCCACGACTACGGGAGCAGGAACAGAACAAGACAACGACGTTCAGAGACTACATCGATACAAACTGCCACCACCCTTCTTCACTGGTGACTACCCCCAGTATGAAGAATCGCTGTAGACTTCGACCTGGTGCTACAACTAGCGCAAGTGGCTACACGACAGATTAAGACATCAGAACACACATACTCGACCCTACACAGGCAAGCAAAGCAGTAGACCTCTCCAGAGATCTACACTACATCCTCATCAACGTCTGTCAGGGAGCAGCAGCTACAGTAGTAAGGCAAAACCGCTACAACGCAAATGGATGTGAAACTCTGCGACTCCTACACAACAGGTTCAGCCTACCAGTAGGAACAAGAAGCGTTGGCTACCTTACCAAACTACTGGAACCCACATTGAATGAAGCGCAGTTTGAAGAGCAATTCCTACAATGGGAATACGACATCAACCGCTACGAGAAAGACAACGGCACAGCACTACCAGATGGAATAAAAATAGCAAAACTACTCAACAAGACGAAAGGAGCGCTGCGGCAACATCTCCAACTGCGAGCTGGACAGATCACGAACTACATCGAGATCAGAGCAGTCATCCTGGACTACTACAAGACGATTTCAGCCTTCTCAAGATCGACTTCAGCAGTACGCACAAACTACAATGGAGGAGCTGCACCAATGGATGTTGACAACATATGGAGGAAAGGAAGAAACTACAAAGGCAAAGGAAAAGGCAAAGGCCACTACAAAGGAAGCAAAAGCAAAGGCAAGTACAGGAGCAAAGGACACTACAGGCGATTCGACAAAGGCAACAAAAGGAGCTACAACAAAGGAGGATACAACAAGAGCAAAGGAAAAGGCTACCCAGGATCCAAAGGATATGGATCAAGCAAGGGCTGCAAAGGCCAAGGAAACTACAGCAATGCAAAAGGAAAAGGAAGCAACAACTACTTGACATGCCACCGATGTGGCAAGCCTGGCCGGCACAGGACTGCAGAGTGCCGGTATGGCACATAGGAGAAGGAGAAGAAATACATCCACTAGAACAAGAACAGGCAGACCAGGACAACAAAGAAGAACTACCTCAGGATGTGAATGACACCTGGGACTGGTACTACGAAGGAGAAGAAGGGCAACACGAGGTAAACTACATGGAGGATAACTGGAGCGACTACGACTATGACAACAGCTGGGATTGGAATGACAACAGCTATGAGGACACAGCAAACTACATTGGAGGCATCAACGGGTCACACCTCACCATTGGACACATCAGACAAGCAAAGTCACTACTACACAAGCACAAATCCAAATCACTACTTGGCAAGAAAACAACACAACATCATGGAACGACCACAGCAAGAGCTTTCAACAATTCCTCCAAGAAAACACCACACAGCTACACTTCGACATAGCAGCAGCAACACAACAGCAAAGAAACAAGAAGATTGAGGACACTATCACACACTACATCATGTACTCCAATTTCAATTCATACCATCACCTGCTGATCGACTCAGGAGCATCTACACATGTTTGCCCGAAGGACTACGCACCAGATCTACCACTACCACCTTGTGGAGAATCAGTTCCACAACTCTACACGGTTGCCAACAAGAAGGGTTCCTGTCTACGGCATCAAGTATGTTCCCTACAAGCAGGACAACTTCAGGATCATGATGCCCTACTACGTTTGTGATGTGAAGTATCCAATCCTCAGCGCATCAAGACTACTTGATAGAGGATATGGACTCGACTTCACTCCACGACAGTGCACCATCACACATGGACAACAACAAGCACACCTCATAAGACACTAGGACTTTTCTACCTACGAGCAGAGAAGATCGACATCCCTACAGGATTCGACATCTACCCAATGACTACAGACAATGGAAAATCCATTGCTGTGATTCAACCTACAGAGAAAGCAACGCAACAACAAGAACAAATTGCACCACTCACCCACACAGACCAAGGACTGCGACAGATCCTTGGTGGAAACACTGACTACTGGAAACTTGATGGTGGCTACGCCATCAGAGTCCACAAACGACCACACAAAGCATTGTTTACACCACACAACAGTGGTTGCCCAATACCAGAAGAAGAACTAGATGATTGGCGACTAACAATCATCAACAGGCAAGGGCAACAGCAAGAACAACTACATTACACAACTTTCCAAGCAAGAACTACAACAAAGACTACAAGGTGACAACTGGACCCTGGAGAAACCAGGTTCAGAAGAAAGATAACACATACATGCAGAGCAACATCAAAGACCACACCAACAAGGCAGAGCTCACAACCACAACGGCTAATGGACACACCACCAACAAGATCAAAGATCCAACTACGAGCACCACAAAAGATATGGAGACCTAAAGCAGCACACTCTACAGATCTTGGCACCACACAACCAAAGGAGACAATCCACAGACCACTCACAGCACAGGAGGACAACCAAGACTACTGGGAAAGACAAGGTGAACACTGGTTAAGACACCACACAACACTTAGAGCAACTCTACTCACTCCAACACAGATGCACCAGGACATCCACCAATCAGCACACTTGAACATCACAGAACTACAAGCACTCACAACAACTTTGGAGAAGTTTCACAACGGAAAGATGACTGGACAGTCATGGGCAACGCAGCACTACCATTTCAATGGAAAGGAACCACAAGGTTCACCGTGAAGAAAGACTACGGGTACATCCAGGAGAGCCACGATGAGGAACAACAACACGAGCATCATGAAGCACACAGAGCAAGAGGACTACGACAACCACACACAGCAGCCAACTCCACAACAAATAGCAGAACACAATCTTGCGCACCTACCATACAGAAACTGGTGTCCAATTTGTGTTCAAGGCAAAGGAGGCCAAGACTACGACAAGAAACAACAATCACGACAACCCGTCATTCAAGTAGACTTCGCCTACATCAAATCACAACAAGACCCAAAGACCATACCAGTACTTCCGGCAGTTGATGTTACTACACAACTGTGTATGGCAGTAATGGTCCCGGACAAACCATCACTGATGGACTACATGGTCAACAACCTACAAGCATTCGTCTTTGAGTGCGGGAGAACACAAGGCATACTACAAAGCGACAACGAAGACACACTCAACGTACTTCTAAAAGCAACAGCAGCAAAAGTCGGCTCAATGATTGTTAGGCACGCACGCTCCTACAGCAGCAACACGTCAAGGAAGTGTTGAGCGACTACACCGAACACTCCTCGGACAGGTGCGCGTCGTCAAAGCACAGGTTGAAAGCAACTACAGCATGACAATGTCCACGAAGCACTGTCTACTACCTTGGATAGTACGACATGCAGCATGGACGGAAAATCGCTACGTCATCCGCACTCAGACGGCTACACCAGCTTTGAATGCCGCTGGGGAAGAAACTACGAGCGAGCAATCTGCGAATTTGGTGAGACACTACTTTATCTTCCACCACAACACAAGAAGCTTCCAAAAAGCAGACCTACGGATGCAGAAATGCATCTGGCTCGGAAAAGTTTCCGAAACCGGAGAAAACTACGTCGCAACGGAATCAGGCGTACAAAAGGTAAGAACAGTACGGAGACTACAACCGAACTTCAAATACGACCTCGCACTGTTAAACAAAGCTTCCGGTACACCATGGGCACAACGACAGAACACCTACAACCCGACA